ATCTCTTCTGTCATGGGAAAGAAGATAATAATTTCTGAAGACCTCATTGCTAGGTTAATTGGTCAAAGTGGTGGTGGAGTCCGTTGTGTGGACATGGCTGATAGGTGCCCTGATATTGGTGTGGTAGCCAACTGTATTTTCACTCTTGGTTTTCCCAGCAGCAAAATCAAGGATCTGAAGGATCACTGCAGAGTGTGGGCCAAGATTGTTCTAGGCTGTTTCAATCACAGGAAGCCCACAAGCTCTCCTGACTATATAAACGTGGATCAGCAATTTCTGATCTACTTTATTAATCAGAGGGTGAAGATCAATTTGGCACACTTCCTGTTCAATCATCTGAAGACTAGTGTGAAAGAGACTAGAGAAGAAGAAAGGACGAAAAGAGACTGGATACCATTTGGGAGGCTCATATCAGATATTCTGACAGAGAATAAGCTGATAGATTATCTGAGCGAAGCTAAAGTACTGGGCAATTTTGAACCAACTGTTGGAAAACCGCTGAATGCTAAGAATCTGAAAAAGATGAAGCTGATAGACAATATCAGGAAGGAACCCAGAGCTTCTTCAACTGCTGACATCTCCAGAAGAAGAGTGCCTCTGAGTGATTTCCCAAGATTTTCTGAAATGGAATCCCATCCTGATGTGTTTGCCAAGTATCCAGATTCTCACAAGGAAGAAGTTGCAGGTTCAAAGCTGAAGATCAAAGATCTGAGTCAAGTTCAACCTGAAGTGACTCAGAAGAAGTCAAAGAAGAGGAAAGCAGAAGGATCATCTCACCAGACTCCAAAGAAACGAGGTAATTCATCTGCTGCTCCTATTTCAATTTCCTCTACTATTCCAACATCTGTTGCTCCGCCTCCAACCTCTCACAGAATTTCCATTCCAATCCCCACTATTGATGAAACAATACCAGAAGACCCTTCTGAGGCCTTACAACTCAGAAGAACCAGAATCAAAATTCCCCTCAAAATTACCAAACAACAACCAACTGTTTCAACAACACCAGCACTTGATAGAGTGCTAGCTGACATTGAGCGTGAACATACTTCTGTTCAACCTCACTCTGAACCACCAAATATTCCTCCTCCACAACCTGAACCAGAAATTCAACCAGAACCACAACCAGAACCAGAACAACAACAACCTATCACAGAAGAACCTCTGATCCCTGAACAATCAGAAGTTCCACCTCCTCAACCAGAAAATAATCCTCCCTCACCTCAAACAGAGTTTCATCGCTATGAAACCCCATCTCCTCATCATTCTGATCCCCACTCACCTCAACCTTCACCGCTGGCAATACAGTTGCCATGTGGAACCACCATTGTCAGACCCCAATTACCATCATCAGAGGAATCAACACCTCCAAAAACTCCAACCACTCCAATAGACATATCCTCTGACTCTGATAACCATCCACCAAAACAAACAGCACCTCAGCACACCTCTGAAAACCAATCATCTGAAAACCCCAGCAGAACATTCATTGACTTAACAAGTCTTGAACGTCTTGCTGATTTAAGACACAAATTGGCCATTCCCAAACCAAAGCAACTAGATGTTGGCTCTGGTATTTTGGACTTTGAAACAGGTATGCTGCAGTGGATTGCTTCTCTGAAGCAAGTCTGTCCCGGGATGATCGACCCAGCTGCTTCTGATCAGCTCTGGTCACAGTTCAGAGTATGGGTTCGTGCTGAAGCACTCAAGCTGCAGGACGTCAACTATGAGCAGGCTCAACAGAACTTTAGCAAGCTGCTGAAGGAAGTTGAGAGTCAGCTGCCTCAAGAAGTTGTGCTCCCTCTGGACTCTGAATCATGGTCTGAGAAAGAACAAGCTGCACAGGTGCAACCTTCAGAAGAAGACAAGACTCTTCAGGAAGAGAATCCAGCAGAAGATGTAGCTGAAAGTTCTGAGAAGCTTCCTCCTACTGAAAGTTCTCAAGCTGCCTTGGACAGGCAGGCTCTGGAAGAATTAAGGCTGAATGACTTGCGTCTACAGCAGCGGATGGAAGAGAGTGATCAGAAGATGGAAGCAAGAATGAATGTCCAGGACAGCAAGATTGATACTGTTGTCACCATGGTTCAGAAGCAGAATGCAACTTCTGAAAAGATTCAAGCAATGCTGGAAAGCCTGTTCTCACGCATGCCCCCACAACCTTGAAATTTTTTCATGCATGACATTCTCTATATTTTCGTCATTTTCTGATGTACTTTTGACTATGTTTTGACTAAGCTTGTGTAATGTTCTTTCCTCTGAACTAATTTTAATATAATTTGTTTTTCTGATCTAAATTGTTTTAGCACATCACTAACACTTTTTGATTGCTGACAAAAAGGGGGAGAACAAGAATGATATTTAAAATCAATAACGGCTAACTAGACAGAAATTCTCAAACATTCTAACTCTATTACTTGAAATGTTTTTCTGTTTTGTTGTTAAGTCTACAGGCACAAGGAAGCTCTGAACACTATGAAGACTAAGAACTAGAAGCTCTGATCAAAATATAAAAGCTCATGTTGCTCTGATCAAATATGAAGTTCTGATATATGAAGATCTGATCGACCTAACACTCTGATCCGAAGCAAAGCTCTGACAGGAAAAGCTCTGAAGCTCTGCTCTCTGATAAGTCAAAGACTTATAATCTGATGCTCAAAGATAGAAAAAGATCTGACTCTGAAGAACACACATATCAAAGGGAAGTAACAAACTCAGGGGGAGTATCTCTTAACTCTGACTTCTCCGTACTTCTTATTCTGATACATAGATCTGATAACTTTTCACGTTATTTTTCATTTAAAATATCTAGTTTTTGTCATCATCAAAAAGGGGGAGATTGTTAGAACAATGTTTGAATCTAGTACCCTATATTTAAGTTTTGATGATAACAAAGTGAAAAGATATAGTAGTTAAATATCTTATGATTGAATTATATGCTGCCTAAGATTACTATGCTCTGACTTGCAGATATGCTGATTAAAATAAGCAAGATCACGTTTTCAGCATCAGAATATGAGTTTGCACATCAGCATCAGAAGTTGCTGAATCAGAACGTCAAGATCAGATGATCAACGCTTGCACATGCTGAAGCTTGATGAACAGAACTGCGCGTAAAACACTCTGATACAGAAACAAATTAGTTCATCAGCAGCGAAGCAGAATCAGATTGAGCCAAGCCAGATCGTGCATTGAAGAAGCAACGGTACTGTGCATTGAAAGCTAATCAATACCAACGGCATCATTCTAGACAAGATCTGCTCAAAAAGGAAAGCTTGTTAATAGCATTGAATCAAGAATATTTGCTTCAACGTTCATCTTCTCAAAGTGCTATATAAACCAAGCTTTGAAGATTATCACGGCTAATGCTTCCAAACTCTCTACACGCACAAAGCTGAACAGTAATCTTCACTCTACAAGTTTTGCTAAACCACCAAACTCTGATACTCTATTAGCGTTTAGCATCTTAGTATTCTAAGCTTCATTTGTGTAAACATCACAGTTGTGATATAGTTTTTGTAGAAAACATTCATACACACTTGTTCATTCCTTTGTAAGAAAGTGTTGCCTTGACAAACCGGATTGTGGTTTGAATCAAGAAGGTTTTAGCAGTTGCTAAAGCAGATTTGTATTCAGTTGAATATAGTGAATTAAGACCTCGTTGGAGAGAGGCGAAATCACCTTGAACGGGTGGACTGGAGTAGTTTGAGATCAAACGAACCAGGATAAAAATACCTTGTCATTTGCTTTAAGTTTCCAGTTTTACAATTCAACCCCCCCTTCTTGTGTTTTTCACCCCTTCAAGGTTCTCGTAGATACTTGCTCTAATTTCAAAACAAACTCAAAAACTCTTTTCACACCGACACATTTTCAAAAGCTTTCAAAAGCAATTTTTCAAACACTCTTGAGGACCGATACAAGAGTCGAACTGGAATTTTTAAAGAAACTTTTTAAAACCCACAGTTGAAAAGCAAACAAACCATTTTTGAAAACACAATTGAACAAGTATCTAAGAGCCCATGGATAACCATGGATAGAAAGGGTGCTAACACCTTCCCTTTCTATAATCTACCTCCCGAACCGAGAGCAATCTCTATAAGAAATTTTTCTGTGCTTTTGTCTTTTCCATTTGGAGAAAATAAAAGACGGTGGCGACTCTTGCTTCCGCGACATTTCGCGAACCAGCTTTAAACAGTCAGTTCCAGATCCACCGATCACACTATTTAATTTTTTTTTTTACGTTTGAGAATTCATTAACCTAATTTATGATTGTATTAATCAAATTTATACAAAATATTAATCAAAATCTAAATTTTATATATACTTAATTTTTTATAACAAAATATATGTTAACTAAACTTTAAAATATATTAACCAAATTTTAATATTTTATTAATTAAAATAATTTAAAAAAAAAAAATTAAAAAGTCTATATTATGAAAACACTATTCACTATTTATGAACAGTGTAAACCGTGTAGTGTCAAAATTAGTTATCAAAATAGCATTTTTGTTTAAAATATCATCAAATAGTAAGTAACTTCACGTGTAATAATCGTAAATTACAAGTATAAATATCAGGCGTATTAATTCTGTAGTTAATAAGCTTCTGGTAATCGTATTCTTCTCCAGGTCAAATTGATTGATTAGCTCACTAATCAGAAATAACGGGATTCACCGGTTGGCCTAATTAGTAAACAAATTAATACGATAATTAATCAACAATTAAATACATTAATTCTACGCCAAGTAAAGAACCAAACAAAATCAAAAGATATTATTTATTTACCAAATATAAAATATAAGAAAGAGAAAAAAACAGGTCATCATGAAGTGGACCAATAAAAAAGAGGTAAGGGGTTCCTAGTTGATCTACCACCTCACACCTTTAAAAGCTTGCGCTCTTCTTTCCCATTCAAAAACCGCCGAAAAAACCAAAAATAAACCTAATAAGCCATAGCGTCCTCTAACCCACCGTGCGAGGTCCCTCGACCTCCGCAGGGTAATATGTCTGACACTCACGCGCCTTCGTCTCCTCCTCCTTCCTTTCTCTTCCACCGTCCACCTTTGTTCAGACAGGAATTCTCTCCTCTTCTGAAGCAGAAATCGTGGTCGCCGGATCTTTATCGCGATGAGGCGTGGCTTCGTAGGAAAGGTAACTGGAAGAATCGGAGAAGCAAAAGCGTGACGGATGAAGATGTTGATGAACTCAAAGCTTGCATTGAGTTAGGATTCGGATTTGAATCTTCGCCCGAAGTTGAAACCGATCGGAGACTTGTAGATACTTTACCAGCTCTCGAACTTTATCACGCCGTCAATAAAAGTTACAACGATTCTCGTAACCCTAAGCCTGTCACCGTCCCTGAAACTACTCCGTCTTCCTCCGCTGCATCCGATCGCGACGGCACTCCTTCTCCTCACGGCAGTCCTCACAACGCCATCTTCGGCAACGGTAATTAGTTAACCAATCAAGTTTAAATTAAGATCTGTTTCATTGAATTATGCTGATCTATTTTTTTAATTGTTTTTTATGTGTTGGGTTATGAATTGAAGATGATGATCCACAATTGGTGAAGACAAGGTTGAGACAGTGGGCGCAGGTTGTTGCTTGTTCGGTTCGTCAAAGTTCAAGCTGAATGATGATGATGATTGACAATGATGATGATGATGAATGTGTGATTATTGAAGATTTTAACCAGAGAAAGACTAAACCATGGTTATTAACTTAACCATATTGTGATATAAATGACAAAATTTCAGTACCAAACCGAACCGGCCACGAGGCTTAGGTTAACAAACCCAGAGATTGGTTCGGTACCAAAAGTAGTTGGTGTTATTATTGATGTTATTTTCCTGTCGGTAGCTTTGTTTTTTAGTTTTGTACTGTTCTTGTCCAAAATATAACTGTGGTAGATTTTTATATTTTATACTAGTACTATAATATAACATAAGATGCTTGAAGTAAGTACGGTAGTTTCGTTTTTTGTCGGTAACAAAAAGATGTTTGAAAATACGCTGATGTTCCTTTTGGGTATTCATTATTATTCCTCTTTTTGGTTTTGGACTTGTGTTTTGTATTTTAAACGCAAGGCTGAGAAAAGAGGAATCTTAGATAACATTGTAGTTGAGCTGGACTGTTACTGATTCTTACGTGAAAGGCACTGAAGCTTGAAATTTCAACCTAGAAAAGAACCTTCTGCTCTGTATGATTGAGTTGGAACATTGTGGAGCTGCTTGCTGCTGTGATTGTGTGGTGTCTGATGATTTGTACTTTCTAGCCTGTCATGACTCATGTTCCACCAATTTTCCAGCGACCGGTTGCTTAGGTAAGTAGGGAAATAAACTTGCGTTGACTTTGATATAGGACATTGTAAGTAAATTGAGTCACTGACAGCGTTATAATGTTATTTATAGAGGTTATTAGATTAATTAAACACCAATTGTTATAGTACGACGATTTGTAGGTAAAATCTCTTCTATCAGCGGCTATTGTTGATTATTGTTATCATAAGTTAAAAGGTCCTTTCACTAGAGTGAAGGGCCGGATAGCAAGAGGTAATAAGTGTACATCCAACAAAGAACTCTAATAAAATCTTTTGCTTTAGTTTGATGTCGAGGTGTACATGTAAATTCTCTATAGTAAGTATTAATCATTATTAAATTAACGTAATATATTTTATTAATAAAAAATATTAAAATATATGCGTGCGATTTGGTTCGGTTTGATTGATTTTAAAAATCAATCTAAAATCCAATCAGATTTGAGCGGTTTTACAAAATGAAATCTAAACACATCTAAAATTTTCAGTTTTTTTGGATCGATTTACAATTTTTATTTGAATCGGTTTAGATTTGAACATCCTACTATGAATGACCTTTGGTTTCTTGAAAGTGGGAAAATACTATACTTTAACCCTTTCACACAAAGTGATAAGGTGGATGATCAGGGTTTTTTTCCTCGAACCCGCTCATTCTCTTTGTATGGACATGAGTGATAGGAAAAACGATAAAGTACCATGTCAGAGGGTCGATTATGGATTCATTAATGGTTTTATGACATAGTTATGTGGACGATGACCATATGAGGATGTTGTCCATCTACCCACACCTTAATTTCCCAACTTCTTACGAGATGGTCACTCATGTAGGAGAATCTTATGATGATTGGTTTGTGGACACTCTTTCCTCTTTCGACCGGATTTATAGTGCGTATTCACAACCTTATTTTCGTACGTACATATAATCTTTCTTTCTCTCTGCTTGAGAAGCAGGTCATGTGGCATCCGAGCGTGAAGCCTTCCTAATTTCACCCAAATTATTAGACCTTTATTCATGCTTTCTAACTTGTATGTTACCGATTGATGACACAATTGGCTAATACGGACCTACAACCTAACATTCACATGCTAGACTAGACCATGCTTTATTAAAAATATAAATAACCTAGGATTTTATATAAGCCTATTTAGTTAAAAGGCTATACTACAAACTATAAAAAAAATCTTTTAAGCCCATCAAATCGACCTATTTAAATAAATATGAATGATATTTTAATCATATTATTATTATTATTATTTTGACATTGTAGGCATACACCACTATGTTATGTTCTGACCTCATATGTCACAATATATTTGTTCTGGATTGACCTGACAGCTTAAATAAGCCCAGTCTAGACCTTTCCTTTAGTACGGCCCGCACGTCCGTGACCCGAACCGCCCGCTATCCATCGAGAAATATCAATCATTTGCCCTCCCAAGCCAACACTGGCCTAGGATGACCGACGAGCATCCTCTCAGCCTTCCCGACATCAACGTCGTGCAGGCCACCAGGAACCGACCAGAGAGATGCCTGTAACTGGACCCCTCCTCGGAACCAACAACTAGTTACGAACACATCTGTCCGATTTGACCAAGTCCTGGCAGTTACCTGATTTTACAGACCCGCATATCCAGGCGTGAAATCAGGAACCAATAGCCACGCGCCAGGGGCATTATATAAACCCTCACACCCGTGAGGGTCAGGTATCGAATATTCACTATTCACCATCTAATACTTTACTTGTATCTCCTCGTTCCCACTCTTACTTGATCGTCAGAGTGCCTTGCAGGTACAACCCCCATTTTTCTCCTCGACATCACAACCCGACTACAGATCATCTTCCGACCACTTCACAAGTTCTGATCAACCAGTAAGATCAGTGGTGTTGTCTGTGGGAAACTGCTCTCCCCATCTTTCTTTCTTGGAAACCTAAAGATCAAAGCAACTTTTCAAGATTCCTCTCACTAATCATGATCTCCTCCTCACAAAATCAAAGGATAGGGGTCTGGGAGAACATGCGGTCAAGGCCTACCACCCAGAAAGGAGAGGAGCAACATTTCTTTCTTCAAGAAACGCAACCGCACACCTCCTGCAAGAGATCAAGACCCCCTTCATTCAAGAAAAGGAAAGACAATCAGAAAATCGACCACACTCGACTGCCTTTGCCCAAACCAAAGTAGAAATGGAGGATCCCCTCCCCCGATAAGACCGTGACGATCGATGGGGAAGAAATTATCACTCCCATTCTCCATCTCCCACAGATACTGAGGATGACGAGCCTCGTGGCTCGCTATCGAGGGAGATTACTGAGGCCCCACTCCCTGTCGACCTAGAGAAGCCACCTCCATTGGGAACCTACGATGGAACAAAAAACCCTGACGAACACATCGAGAATATTGACGCTCTTCTTTACTATCGAGGAGTCAATGGGGCTATCAAATGCAGACTCTTCCCAACCACTCTCAGGAAGGGGGCGATGTCGTGGTACAAGAGCCTTCCCGATGAATCCATCACCTCATGGAAGCAGCTCGGGAGGATATTTTCGAGACATTTCACCGCCTCTCGCCGACACCCAAAATCAGAGGCTTCACTCAAAGCAATCATCCAGGGCAGGTGTTGTACCCCAAAATTTCCCCTCCCGCTTTTTATGCAAGATACTATCCTAGGGTTTTCTCGAATACTCAATTTGGCTCAAAAGTTGATCAGACAAATTCTCTTCCTAAGCAGTAAGTCAACAATTAGGGTTTGTTATTTCCCAAAGAAAATTGAGTCTCCAAGGTTTCAAATGGTCTTCACAAATCTTCACGTCTCCTCAAGGATGTTCGTGCCAAGTTTTAAACCTCGCATTGCAAGTTTGCTCAGTTAATGGTTCAGATGACTGAAAATGACTCCATTGACCCAAAAGTCGACCTTTTGTGAGATCAAGTTCAAACAATTGTAACTTTTTCATTAATCAATATTTTTGAGCGGTTCTGTTTGTGTATGAATCTCCTTGACGTCATCTCCAATTTATCTTCACAAGTCAAGAGCTGATTATGTGCAAAAGATCATCAGAAATTCGAATATTTTATAGGTCACTTTCTGGTTCTGACCTAATTTCAGATAATTGTGGCCTGCCTTCCAAGAGTCGTAATGTCCTCAATTTTCAAGATCTCTAGACGATTATTTTTGCACATTGTCAAGAGCGATGTCATCAACAAGTCCTCTCTAAGAATCGAAGGAAATTGTGTTTAAAAGACCTTGGAGATTATCAATTTGTCATGGGTCATTTTCTTGATTTAGAATGTTTTTATCTTCTAATTATTTTCTCAAAGGCTATGATTCTCATGTTGAGACGGTCCATGGAACGAGATGTTGAATTCAGAGATTCATATTGAGTTTGAACAAGATGTTAATTATAATATAAGTTGCCATGTTGAAAATCGATTTATGATCTCGGTGAAAATGATTTGAGGATTCATTTGAATAATGTTCTTGGTTAGTGAAAAATTACACGATATTACAAGTTTCGTCCAAATCTTCTACAATTCATTCGCGTGAGTTGTTTTGAATTCAAGGTATCAAAGAACGAGTTTACTAAAGTTTGATCAAATTCATTCGAACTTTGGAATGCAAACATGATTAAAGTTATGCTTTGATTCATGGTTTATCTAAGTCACAATTCTCATGAATCAAATTAAATTGTCAAACCTAATTTTTTCAAGCGCGTCATTATTCAAATGCAAGACTTTTTCTTAAGCCGCTTTGGAATTCAAGATTATTCAAGTTTATTCAAGAATTCAAGATTTACAACAAGGCGTCATTTTTATTAAAGTGAATTTGAATATATTTTACAAAGTCTCTAAGTCTTAAAATTCAAATCACAAATGGAAACTGCAATGTTACAAAAGTCACAATAATACAAAATTCCTAAAGAATTGATTTTTCGTCATCTTCAAGTCTTCATCAAGCACGTCAGGCCACTTTTCATCAATTTTCTCCATTGCCCAAATTACTTGTACATGTAACAAAAGAAAGGAAAAGTTAGCTAACATGTGAGAATTTAAGAACTAATTGTTAAGAGTTTTTATCTCATCATTAGAGTTTACATTTTGGAATAAGAAATTAAAAGGGTTTTTAATCATGGTTTATCTCCTCCTACTTTTTCAAATCACAAAAAAAGTGTGGATTTATTTTGGTTCACAAATAGGGAAAAGAAATAGCAAAGGCAAAACTCAAAACAACACAAAACAGCAAGCAGTGCAAAAACGTGTAACAACAGCAACAACCAGTAGCGGCTGCAAGTCAGCAATGCAGCAAGTAAAAACAAACAAGG